CAATCAATGCATACAGATCTTCCATGAAAAACAGCTCCAAAAAATCAAGGGGAGTAGTTAAATTTGCTGTTTCCACCTGAATTCCAGGTTGGGCAGTGAGTGGGGGAAGTACAGGTGCTGCAGAATTTGTGGGCTGTCAACGGGATTTGCAAGCACATCCGGAAGGATATTAGGGGCTCTACGGGCCTGTGTGCAAATTCTTGGTGGCTGTGGGACAAAACATGTGCTTGCATGGCACCAGCTTGTACTACACTTAGGGGACTCACCATGTCACCAAGTCATACTGCAGTGCTGGTATGTGAAAGACCAGGATGTACTACGCCGCTGGTGCTCGCCAGTTCACCAAAAGGTAGAGCGACACTAGTACTGGCACTCTGGTGCACATGAGTCATCAAAATTTACCAGCAAGTTCTAGCAGAGATTCTGCCAACACTGCAACTTTGTGTGCAATTTATCAAGTGACAGTGACCTACTGATACTGCACTTGCTGGGGGAGAAGGGGGGTGGGTTAAGTGTAGGGGCTAAACACAGGTGCTGGCAGGTGCGGGGCTGATCCTGCTAATGCTGTGTTTTTGGGGACACTATACTAATGTGAATGCTGATATAGTGCTGATCTGATCAAAGATATTGATCCGTTCAGACAGTATACTAGCAATGGAGGTTTATTGTGTATGAGCGTGTTCCTGGCAATCAAGGGGTTAAATGTTATTACTGACGGGCAATCTGATGCTATCTGGGAGGGCGTGAAAACCACGAGAGCGCGAATCACATGTATATACATGATTTTCCACACCTGTGCCGCCCTGTAGCTGTATTTCTGCTATAGGGCGGTCAGGGAGCAGGTAAAGAAGTGGTTTACGTTATGGTGCTGCGTTACTTTAACTGAAAATTGTGCAGTCATGCAACGCTGCACCCAAACAACATTTACTGCCTTTTTTCCCACAAATTGAGCTTTCTTTCAATGGTATTTGATTGCCTGTGCGCATTTTATTTTTTGTGCTATTAAAAAAAAAAAAAAAAAAAGACAATTTTGAGAAAATAACACTATTTTGGACTTTTTGCTATTAAACATGTCCATTAAAAAAATTTAAAAATCAAATTTCATCATACATTTAGGCCAAAATGTATTCTGCTACATGTCTTTGCTAAAAATAAATCCCAATATGTGTAAATTAATTGGTTTATGTGAAAGTATAGCGTTTACAAATGGCGGTATAGATACTGGAATTGTGTTTTTTTTTTTTTTAAAAATACTAATAATGGCGGCAATCAGCAACTTATAGTGGGACTGCGGTGGGCATTATGACACAGGGGAAATAACTTGGTGTCACTGACATCCCCAGTGACACCAATACAGTGATCAGTGCTAAAACAAAATGCACTGACACTGTATTAATGGCACTGGGCAGGCATGGGTTAACATGAGGGACAATCAACGGGTTAACTGTGTGTAGGGAGTGTTTTACTAGGGGGGTGTGTGCTTTACTTTAAGCACACTGCTCTGGATGGCTCTGCTCAGCCATCCAGAGCAGTGTGCCCAAACTGACAGGGAGGAGGGCTGTTGGTAAACAATTCAGCCCTCCTCCCTGTTAATGATCACCGGTAATCAGTGCATGCTGGTGGGTAATCACCGGCCGGGACCCGTGATTGACACCCAGGGCCACGATCAGAGGTGCGGGTAGGCGCTCGCACGCGCCCCCTACCCGGAAATGCAGAATCACATTATAATATATATATATATATATATACAGTGGGGCAAAAAAGTATTTAGTCTGCCACCAATTGTGCAAGTTCTCCCACTTACAAAGATGAGAGAGGCCTGTAATTGGCATCATAGGTAGACCTCAACTATGAGAGACAAAATGAGAAAACAAATCCAGACAATCACATTGGCTGATCTGGAAAGAATTTATTTGCAAATTATGGTGGAAAATAAGTATTTGGTGAATATGAAAAGTTCATGTCAATACTTTGTTATATATCCTTTGTTGGCAATGACAGAGGTCAGACGTTTCCTGTAAGTCTTCACAAGGTTGGCACACACTGTTGCTGGTATGTTGGCCCATCCTCCATGCAGATCTCCTCTAGAGCAGTGATGTTTTGGGGCTGTCGTGGGCAACACGGACTTTCAACTCCCTCCAAAGGTTTTCTATGGGGTTGAGTTCTGGAGACTGGCTAGGCCACTCCAGGACCTTGAAATGCTTCTTACGAACCACTCCTTCGTTGCCCAGGCGGTATGTTTGGGATCATTGTCATGTTGGAAGACCCAGCCATGTTTCATCTTCAATGCCCTTGCTGATGGAAGGAGGTTTGCACTCAAAATCTCACAATACATGGCCCCATTCATTCTGTCCTGTACATGGATCAGTCGTCCTGGTCCCTTTGCGGAGAAACAGCCCCAAAGCATGATGTTGCCACCCCCATGCTTCACAGTAGGTATGGTGTTTTTGGATGCAACTCAGCATTCTCTCTCCTCCAAACACGACGAGTTGTGTTTCTACCAAACAGTTCTATTTTGGTTTCATCTGACCATATGACATTCTCCCAATCCTCTTCTGGATCATCCAAATGCTCTCTACCAAACTTCAGACGGGCCCGGACATGTACTGGCTTAAGCAGGGGGACACGTCTGGCACTGCAGGATCTGAGTCCCTGGCGGCGTAGCGTGTTACTGATGGTAGCCTTTGTTATGTTGGTCCCAGCTCTCTGCAGGTCATTCACTAGGTCCCCCCATGTGGTCCTGGGATTTTTGCTCACCGTTCTTGTGATCATTTTGACCCCACGGGGTGAGATCTTGCGTGGAGCCCCAGATCGAGGGAGATTATCAGTGGTCTTGTATGTCTTCCATTTTCTAATTAATGCTCCCACAGTTGATTTGTTCACACCAAGCTGCTTGCCTATTGCAGATTCAGTCTTCCCAGCCTGGTGCAGGTCTACAATTTTGTTTCTGGCGTCCTTTGACAGCTCTTTGGTCTTCACCATAGTGGAGTTTGGAGTGTGACTGTTTGAGGTTGTGGACAGGTGTCTTTTATACTGATAACAAGTTCAAACAGGTGCCATTGATACAGGTAATGAGTGCAGGAAAGAGGAGCCTCTTAAAGAAGAAGGTACAGGTCTGTGAGAGCCAGAAATCTTGCTTGTTTGTAGGTGTCCAAATACTTATTTTCCACCATAATTTGCAAATAAATTCTTACCAAATCAGCCAATGTGATTGTCTGGATTTGTTTTCTCATTTTGTCTCTCATAGTTGAGGTCTCCCTATGATGCCAATTACTGGCCTCTCTCATCTTTTTAAGTGGGAGAACTTGCACAATTGGTGGCTGACTAAGTACTTTTTTGCCCCACTGTGTGTGTATATATATATATATATAGTGTGATCCTGAGTAGAGGGGCCACCCTGTAGCAGTAAATCTACTGTGGGTGGTCGAAAAGCGGTTAAATCCTCTTTCTTCCCCATTCTGATGCTCAGTTTCAACTTCAGCAAGCCGTCTTCACCACATCTACATGCCTAAATGCATTACGTTGCTGCCATGTGATTGAACACAGATTGCTAATCAGCCAATCACATCCCTAACTACAACCAAGTTACCGTATATACAGCACACAGAATATGAAACCTATGGTGTTACACTAATAATTCACATTGCAAACATATATACATAACCTATGTATATGATAATGCAATAAAACATAAATGAAACAGATGAACCTCTTACTGTGCTTCCCTTACCGATATTTCCCAGAAAATATGACGCACAATCTGTAATAAAATCTTGTGTTTCTGTAACAATAAGGTGATCTTGGAAAACTATTGCATGATCTGAATTTCAAAAGTCCAACAATCCAACATGTCTAAGTTTTCTTATAAATCTTCTTTGTGGTGTAATGAAAAAAACTATATTTGCTCTTATAAACAATACTACTCCTTCATCACAGTGCGCTCCAATCAATTAGCTCCAAACCCTCCACCTTCTGCACACAAAAAGCTCACCAGAACGAAATGACCCTTTTGTTATGAGAAGGTTGGACAGAAGCTGTTCATAATTCTCATGGGCTTTGATGGTATGTGCCGACAGATCACAAAACAGAATGAACTTTACTTAACCACTTGAGTACCAGATTGTGTTTACCCCATTCATTGCCAGACCATTTTCCAGTTTTCAGTCTTGTGATAGTTCGACCAACAATTACTCAGTCATGCAGCCTTGTACTCAAATGTATTGTATCTTATTTTTTAAGACAGGCTTTTTTTTAATACTGTTGTTATTAAATACCACCAAAAGAAAATGCTGTTTCCTTTTACTTTTGTTTATGAAAACATATCAAATAAATTGCCAGAACAGTAGGAACACCCCTGAGCGTTTTTGGAAAGTGGATATTCCAAGGTGATCTCAGTTTTTGCTATGATTTTTGGAAATTAAGCAACATGCTGGTATTACGGTGGATAAACCATTCAGCTTGGTAATAGTGTACTAGACACAGCAAAGTCACAGAGAGAAAGGAAGAGTTGAAGGGCCCAATTATGTACAGGTAGGGCTTCCGTACAGTAGGTGTATGAAGGGGTTAATCTTCAGCTGTGCATGATAAAGGAGGCAGAGGCTTAATATACAGATCAGGTGAGAAAGGATGGAGATAAGAAGCTCTATTCACAGACACAATGTACAGTGCTGATTCGAGCCAAGTCACAGTGATCAGACAATACAGAGCCGCTCAGATCAGCTCTGTACACTGTGTCTGTGAACTGAGCTGTCTGATTCTGGTTCAGTTCACAGTCATCAATGGGCACGATGAAAGCTATAGGGTGATTCTGGAGTAACATTTATGAACCTATGGTGTTACCATAATCCACACTACTTTCTCATAATCGGTGTTGGGTTTCATACACATCTCTCTGTAAAGAACTGAGTTTCAATTGGGTCTCGTTGCTTTGGTAAAATAAAAACTTGAACATGGTCATTTTTTTCGAATACCTGTAGTCACTCTAATGTTCTCAATTCTAGGTCCACAGCGGAGGAGAAGGCAGAGAAGATACGCAGGAAAGTCTCACTCATGAGGTGTGATGTCACCAAATCCAATCCCCTAGAGCCAAATTCCCTTCCCCTGACAGACTGTGTGATCGTTGCCGGGTGTCTCATCTGTGCTTGCAAGAATGTTGAAGATTATAAAGCCGCCCTAAAGAACGTTGTATCTCTGATCAGACCCGGGGGCCATCTCATTATCACCGATTACTTAGGGGCTTCGTATTACCTGGTTGGCGAAGCAAAGTTTCCAGTTCTGTCACTTGATGAAAATATTGTGCGAGAGGCGGTAGCTGATAGTGGGTGTGAGATGCAGGAGTTTACAACATTTACTGACTTTGTTATTCCAGAAGATACTTTTAATTGTAAAAATTCTTTCTGTCTTCTAGCCTGCAAATATTGAAGCCATAGAGAGAAACAATAGAAAAAAAGGCAAAATTATCTTGAAAGCGGATTTAAACCTCAAAACAGAAATGTATTATATTGCAGTTCACAAATTCCTAGATGTGGTGTGGGTGCATTAGTTTTCTTTTCTAGACTTGTTTCCTTTGTGATCCAGCCAACATGCCTGTAATCAGGGCCATGGATAAGGGGGTACCACCGGTCCTCCTGTATGGGGCCCAGGCCAGTAGGGGGCCTGGGCAGCTGGGTGAATTGGATGTGGGCAGAGAGGGTGACCGGCACAGCAGGGGGGGGGGGGGGCAATTACACCCAGCTGGCTTCTTCTCCTTTCCTGCCGGCTTTCAGCTGTAGTAGGGAGAGCCATACAGGGGATCTGTCCCACTAATTGCCCAACCCCCCCCAAACACACATCACCCTCCCTGTGCACAATACATTTCCCCCTGCTGCCTAGGCCCCTCACCCTTGCAGTGCTGCTGGCTTCCCCCCTTTCCTTCCCACCAGCAGCTGCAAGCTGCAATAGGATCCTTCGGGATTGAGAGTGGGGGAAGGGTCCAGTAAATGTCATATTTGCAAGCCCCTTCCTTTCATGAATGAACACAATGAGTGATTTGTACCCATTGCTCACTATGTTCATTCATAACTGAAGCATAGTAAACTGTGTTTTTGTTTGGGGAAGGGGATCCTGTCAAGTTGGCTGAATGGGGCCCTGTGGTTTCTATCAGTAGCCATGTCTGTAATTTTTCAGCTTCCTTTACCAGACCAAGCTGTGCAGACAAAGTGTCAGTTAGAGGGTTGAGACAAACCAATTACCACTGACAGGGGTGCTTACAGTGGCCATCGTTTATTAATTTATGTAAAACCTTTACCCCCCCCCCCCTCCCCCACCAAAAAAAAAAGGTTTACTATAACTGTTAGCTGGAGATCAGCTGCAATTTGTTAGTCAAGTCCATCTAAATCTACTAGTCTCACACTACCCTCTCCCCAAACTGCTGTCCAAAGGTGTCTACTTTACTACTTCATCCATAATGCAGACACCCTAAGACAGGCATTGTGTTACTGGTTGGATCACCAGGTGAAATAAACAGAAAAAGGGATACAAAAAGAGAACTAATGCAGTCACCACGCTTAATGATTGGTAAGCTGCAATATATTACATTTTTGTTTTGGGGTTTAAAGTGGAAATTTAGCCAGAAAAATCCTGCTGGATCATTTCATGGTGGCCACTTTTGCAGGTATAGCTATGTAAAACAATCCTTCCCTCTCACCATACACATATATGAGGCCTCTCGCCATACATAAAGATAAACAGGACTGTGCCAAGAGTGCGCACTCTGTGCACTCCCGTCACAGTTTCCAGCAGCAAACAGACAGCTCTTGATCTCTACTTCTGATCGGGAGCGTTTCGATCATGTGACCGCTGTAACAGCCAATCACAGCTGTCACATGATCAGAAACACGGCCCTGCATCCCAGCATCTGAAACCCCTTACAGGGCAAAGAGGCACCAGCGCCAAGGGGATAAAAATAAGTGCCTATACTGTTTACAATCCAGTAATACACTGTCTTACCCTGCTCTGCACATGCTCAGTTGCCCTCTATTGTTTGGTACAGTGCCAAAAATGTAGATGCCGATCTGCTGACAGCCTACAAATTTACTGCTTCTCAGAGGCTCTGGGCTTTTTGGCTGCCTCCAGGAATGAAGAAACAGGAACAATGCTGGAGGCAATTTACAGCACACACCAGTTTTGGTAGCGTAATTATTAATGTGGAATGTATGTTCCTTGCTAAACAACATTATTTTTTATTGATTTGTTATGGATAAAGTTCCTCTTTAATACTGCTTTAACGCCAGATCATTCCAAATCTTCCTATAGCGATGTCTAATTGTAATTTTTAAATTAACATACATTAGTAGATGTAGCCATAGCCCTTGGAGCCACAGGAAATATACTGAATTCCCCTTGCCACTTCAGAGGCTACTCTCTCTGTTTCCAGTCCCAGTAGCACACCACCAACCTCAGGCTCCAGCCTAGGTGTCTTTTAGGGTTTATTGCAGGCCTTGAATAAAATGCAGGGAGGAGGGTTTAGGGTGCAGAATACCCTAGGCATACAAATATTCCTAGAACAGCATCTTGAGAAACCTTGTCTCAGCAGTATTGGGCCTACAGTAGCAGCCTTTAAAATAATGCTGAAGCAGATATGACAGCCAGTAAATCTATGATCTTATGAGAACAGTCACTGTCCTTAAGCAGCAGCTTCTGACATCTCACCCTCAAGAAGTACTTCCATACCTGGAGCTACAGGCAAAAGGACCCCACCTCTCCAGCTGAACTTCAACAGGCAAGTTTCCTTTAGGCAAGTTTTCTTTAGGCCCTCAGCCCATAGCACATGCCAAGGTCTAGTACCAGTAGTTCTCTGGATCACTTACATGCCCCCTCCCAGGGGGGAAGCCCAGGGGAAGAGAGCTCTGACCAGACCCACTCAAACCAGGGGCGGACTGACAACTCATGGGGCCCCCGGGCAATAGGGGACCATGGGGCCCCTGTGTCCTTGCCCACACTTAAACCACACCCAAAAAGCCTATGAAAAAGGTAACAGGGGCATCTCATGGGGCCTCCTTCTGACCCCGGGCCCTCGGGCAGTGCCCGAGTTCCCAAATGGTCAGTCCGCCCCTGACCCAAACACATATCTTCTCCCCAGCCACACCTTCTTGGCCAGCCTCCCAGGGGCTAGCTAGGGTCCAATAAATTTTTATAACCTCTGTGACTGACCCTCCCACTCTATTGCTGGAAAATTTTTCCAGCAGTAGATCAGCAATCAGCCACCAAGTTTAGGGATAAACCTGAGAAGACCTATCAAGTATATTTCAGATCAACTAGTTACAGCAAAGCCACACAAAATTTAGCCAGTCCAGGGCAGGGAAAATTACAGGTAGTAAGCTGATTCAAGGTTTAGGGTTTAATTACTATGATCTTTAGGACTTTTTTTTTAACACTTTCACACATCCCCTCCTCTGCATCTCAGCTTCACCCTGTCTCCAGTAACCTGTATATCAACCCCTTCCCATACCCTGTACATTAATGCATTAACACTGTCATCTCCATCCTCCTACAGTATGTTACCTATACATTAACTACTTCAGCATCTACTATACCTCTGTGTATGACCTATGCATTAATGATGTGCTGTATCTAGTGAACAAATTTGTTACCTAATATGGTGTTGTACCGCCTGTGGCATCCAAGACGGCCTGAATTCTCCTGGGAATTGACAAATATAAGTCTTGGTTGGTGGATAATGGAATCTGATATCACTCTCTATGCAAAATAATTCCAGTTCTCACAGAGAAAACAAGCCCAAGCCTTGTTCTCCAAAATTGACAATAGTGGCTCTATTATGTTGAGATCCAGCGACCCAGGGAAGGTGCGAGGCATCTTCTGCATGCTTGTCAAACCATGATTTGACAACACCTGCTGTGTGAATCGGAGCATTATCGTCTTGGTAAATGGCGTGGTCTTCAGGAAACAATATCTGCACCATGGAGTTGGCCAAAATTTTTATATAGTCACTGGCAGTGACTCTATCTTTTAAGGTGATGATGGAGCCTGCAACAATATATGGCTGGCCAAAGCATGATAGTGCCACCACCATACTTTACCATTGGTACAAGACAGTCCTGGTTGTAAGCTTGGGATGGTATTCGCCACATGTAAACGCGTCCGGTGGTTGGGAACAGTGTGAAGCTCGATTCATCTGACCATAAGACAGTCTTCCATTTATCGATAGTCAACGATTTATGGGTGTTGCAGCACTCTCTCCTCTTGTGAGCATTAATATCGGTCACTAGTGGTTTGGCAATTGCAGCTCACCCTTGAATGTTCTTCCTATGGAGTTCCTTCTGCACAGTTTTTGTGGACACAGGCTTTGGATGAGATTGAGCTCTGCAGTCACTTTTGCAGCAGTTGTTTTCTTATTCTGGTTCACAGTCCTGTGCAATGTCTTTGTCTTTTTGGTCAATTGACCAGGTCAACTGCACTTATGCTTATCAGACAACATTTTCCGCAGAAACTGTATATGCCATCATAGCCTTTCATACTGCACCCTGCAACATGGCAAATAAATTGGCAACTTCAATCACAGAGGCAACAGCTAAGTGGGCACAAACAATTTGCCCTTCCCAGGCTTCCCACCAGTTAGCTAGACGTCTCATCACAAAGTGGACGCAAAAGAATGTTACATCACTTCCACGTTAAACGCGAAGCATGCCGTCACTTTCACACCTGCAAGTTTCCATATTTTCCATATCTGTAGTGTTTTTATATATATATATATATATATATATATATATATACACACTTATAAATAAGTGTAAAAAAGCATTTCAAATTGTATTAAAACATGGATAGTGTCAGTAGAGCAGTGAACGTGTCAGTACGGCAGAGACTGGTGTCAGTAAGGCAATGGACAGTGTTGGTAGTTTTTAACTTTTATTATTTTATTTTTGCATTGTTTTTTTATAGTTTTTTTAGGAGCCCCATGGTGAAATATCAGGGAGAATCTGTGCCGCACAGGGGGATTAGGGTGTGCCCAGGCACATCCGGCACACCCCTTGTGCACACCTATGGTGGGGAGGTTAATCGTACTGACATCAGTGCTGGAAGTCATTATTGCACCCACTGACACCTGTGCTGGGGATTATTATTGCATCCACTGGCACCAATGTCGGGAGTTATTATTATGGTCGCTGACACCAATGTTGAGTGTTATTTATGCCTCCACTGACACCACTGCTGGAGGTTACTAATGTGTCTACTGACATCAATGTTGGGGGTTATTCTTGTGTCCACTGATGCCAGTGCTGGTGGTTCTAATTGCATCCACTGCCACCAATGTTGGGATTATTATTGTGTCCACTGACATCAATGTTGGTGGTTATTTATGTGTCTACTGACACCAATGCTGAGGGTTATTTTTTGCATCCACTGACTCCAGTGCTGGGGGT